GTATTTATTTAATTTATTCAATTACGAATATATATGCACCAGTATCATCTCTACAGCAATCGGATATTTCCATTAATATCATTGCTTTAGCAATTTTTAAATATTTGTCATAATTTGTCAAAATGAGCACTATAGGTTATTTCACATAATCACATACGTTGAAATTTGAGTGAAAGGAAAATATACTCTGTCGAATTATCTCATTATTTAGATCATCAAAGTTATTTAAGTCTTAATATATTTCATACATTGCAGTAAGCAATAAGTAGAATCATTTAATTTATGCAGTCTATGCATGCATAATTAATTTGCATAATTCCAAAATAAGTTCTTTGTTTTGATACAAATAGGAAAATTTTTCTGAAAAATGGTTGATTTGATTGTTATACGAGTCACCTGTGTTATGCTTAAGTCATTTATGTGGAGGTTCACATGAAAAGTCGTCAACAGATGCTTATTGTTTATGTTAAATGATTATTTGTTTATTGTTTCAGCTAATTGTTTTATGTTTGAAAAAGCTTTCGTGTGTTATAATTAATTGAAAAATTCTCCAATTAATTGGATGGATATATCTGTATATATTGATGAATGATTATTTGTATAGTATTTGGCCGATTAGCTTGGCTGATGAGGATTGAGGCGCAGGTGACTGCATGCAGTTTGCTATAACGATTTGTAATTGGATACAGCAACACATGTCACACTACTTTCAGAGAGCAGTAATATGGATAACTTGATACAGTCAATGTTCTGTTTTGTAGTCTCACAGTCTGTTCACACAAGCTTAGATTACTGTCAAAGTGATGTTGATTAAATTCATAGATAGGGATTTTCCTTAACTTTTTTTCAATTCCAAATAAGTTTGGACTCTTTCTTGGCTTATTTTTCTAAGTTATTTAACAGTTGGCATATCGTTGATTCCTACTTTGTTGATTAAAATACGCATTATTTTCGTTATCTGACTGACTTATCCTTATTTTAGGTTACTGATTTTGTGAAAGAAGGGAATCGTTGAATGGAATTGACTTTAGGAGTATGCTGAATTGAAAGAAGAGATTGAAATGATTGTTTTTACAACATGGTAGGAAGTATTTTCATTTTGCCTACTGTTGTTTATTCATTTGTGCATTATGACCTTTCACGCACGGAAGGTCAACACTTCAAGAATTCGATTAAGTGGCTCTGTGGAGTTCAGAAAGTATCATCATTGCGTGCCGCAACACTTACTTTCCGTATTAATCATGCCGACTTTTGATGTGATGACTATTTGATTCGCATTTTTGGTACCCCAAAAGTCACTCCATACTGTATTAGCAAATAGTTTCACCGATAAAAAAAGGGTCACGCGAAGCACTTCTGATTGTTGCAACACCATTGCTAAGCATCACAGAATACTTCTGAATAAATAAGCTAAACTTTGATGATTACCGCTTAACCTTTTGACCTAATGAAATATGTATGTACATGATACGACTCTTTCAGGGATATATATATATATATATATATATATATATATATATATATATATATATATATATATATATA